TATGCCATCGTGATCTCACAATTTCCAGCTTTTCACGCATGATAAATAATTCATCCACCCTGGAGTCCTCTCGTTTGAAAAGCCCTACCCCTAGCTCGCCAAGTGTTATTTCCATACGATGCTTTGGCATGCGCTATCGCCCAGTCTGCTCTACATGGTTTCGCAACGGAGGGATCATGTAGAAAAGTTCAAGTTGTCACGTGAACCCGGCGCTCCTCTACCCTTTAGGAATAGACAGAAGAGGCCATCTCCATCACGACAACACCACTTCTGCACCAGGATGACTTTAAAGGCCTCTGTCAGGAAGGTCGGAGTATAAAAGGGTGAAGTCTACGCCGTTCATCAGCTTACTCGGGATGCGCCACACATTCTTCTTTCATAAAAAATTGCAGTGGCTTACTGAATGCGATACAACCTATACAATGACTTGCAGAGGTGAGCCGATGCACAAGTCAGTGTTGTTATCCTACCAAGCAAATCTAGCTCCAATTTAACGTTTCTGAGGGTAGAAGGCTTGGCTGCGGAGGGCAGCCGGGAATCGAGTCTTAGACCGCGCGCCTGGTAAACATGCCTTTTGTATGCAACATCCTCCTCTTTCGATATCTTGAAGGTGTGCGCTAACAGCTCTCAAAGAACAATTATTAAAGGCACGGTCCGCAATCAGGTATAGAAGTTGAAAATATGGCGTCAAGAGAGGTTAGAGTGGTTGCGCGGCGAAAACACCTTGTACCGGTTTCGCGGCAAAAAATTCTATGGGAGGGGCGCTGTAGCGCAATATAGGTTCAGTGGCTCCTCCTTTTTTCCAGTGACTCCGCCTCCAGACTCCGCCCCTAATGACCGACTTCCAGTGAAAAATGAGATGCAGGACGAAAAAGCATGATAATCGCCACTTGTACGATCGTAGAAATCTTATCGGTGAATCAGCCGTGCATATGAGGGCGTAGTTTTGGAGATAGAGTTGATTGGGCACGTACAAACTGGGATCGAAATGGGGTTCTATCTAGGGCAGGTGGCATGTTTTTTGTGCTTTTTTGTTCACAGTCGAGTTACTCGAATCCCGTCTTCGTATTGGAACCCCCTATATGGAACCTCCTAATCCACCATCTGAGATGGCGAGTAATCGCGGGTTCTTCCTTTGAGGAAGTGTGCCAAAATCCTGACAGTCAGAATTCATTCTGGCCTTTCCACTTGCGAGTTCTGATTTTAAAACTCTCAAATTTGTAGCAGAACACCGTCAGTGCGAATCCTTACGGCACCACAAGGAACGCACCGCAGATTTCATTTAGCCTATTGCCCGACTTTTCGACCGAATTATCGCTTTCTAGTGCTTGAGATGGCCAAGAATCCTATTGGTCTAGATGTTCACAGCGGCGGATGTTAACACTGAGCGTTCACCACATCGTATTTCATTTTTTATTTATTTACCCATTTATTTTTGATATTACTCAGAAGTTCTCTATCCCGAATGCGAGTATAAACACTGTAGAGTAAATAGGATAAGAGCAGAGCTGCGGCGAAAGGTTAGTTGCAAATGCCGCCGCGGGCGCGACATTTGCACCAGCAGCCGATCCAACTCCTTTCTGCACCAACACTTCATGCTGTATCGCTCCCACTGTTTCAATGCTGCTCTGGTGGTTTTCTCATATTCCTTTGCATGTCCGTCTTTGTGTAGTTATCGTAACCGTTCCTTCAATCATTCGTCACTTCTTCATTTTCCTGTTTCCTCTCCATCACATCATCGTATTCTGCAGGTTTCTCTTGGAGAACGCCTTTTGTGAACGTTCAGCCTCTTCATCTTAGTGTCGTTGGATCATTGCCAAAAGTTGTAGGGGAAAATGACGTCATCGTTCGATGCGTACGACCTCATGCGGCGATCAATCCTATCCTCAATCATGGGTTTAAGACGGAAACCACGGCCTAGTACTACAGTGGAACGTACTGCACCAGGTTAGTGTAGAGCTTTACTAGTGCAATGTGGATTTATTTACTTTCGTTTGATAGTTCGTGCAAAAATTCAAGGATATAGCTTTCGCCGCTGATCGATCCCTTTTTAAGATTTGGCCCGCATTCGACTGCTACTCAGAATTGTAGTGGCCTATATCATGCGATGTGGCCTGCAATATCTTTGGAGGAGGAGGGAGGGAGAGCGGCTAGTGCATACAGGAGGGGGGGGAGGCGAATAAAAAAAAGACACTTTGGCCGAGTCATATCAGTAAAGTTTACGCAGCCCACAGAGAAGGATACGAGTATCAGGGCGTAAGATACCCAAGATGCTCCTCGATAAGCAAAAGCAGGCTGTCGCCCATCACCTTCATGTACACCAAAATATGAAGCCATCTGCAACCGCAGCCGGACCAGAGAAGGCCTATGGAATGGGTGTCACCTCTAAACAGCCTGCTGAAACTTCTTGAATCGCGAGCCTGCCCAATGCGACATCCAACAGTCTCTCATAGTTCTCTACTCCTCGACAATGTCTCCGGCCGGTCCTGGATATCATCTTTCTAGTCTTCTTTATGTCGCCAGGCGCCTGGAAGCTAATGGCTATGGACCGGATGTTCCTGGAAAGGGCGGAAGGGGACCAGACTATTTTCTTCGTGGATCTAAGCTCGAAAGGTGAATGTGACGGTTACATACGACCAACTCTCGAGGAGAATATCCTGCCTTCATATTGTCGCCCGTCCATCTTGGAAACTCTGTACTGCTACAGGATTGGTTGCCACCGCATGGAATCGAAGGGCGTTGGAAAAAGCTTCGCCTACGTGAAACGGAGGGCGTTGAGTACCTGAAGAAGACGAAATATCTAAGTGTCACCAGACTTGAACCTCCTCAATCACCGGGCTCGAGCGGAGCTCAACGGTGGTCTACAGTGGCGGAGAAGTCAACGACCCCGCTGAATTCAGCATCGATCACGTTTCGCGCTGGCAGAATCATCTCGAACGGCTATGCTATAGAGGCTGGTGACGGAGTATTCATTGATAGTGCCTCCAATGTTTGGTGCAATGTGATGGTGCGAAATGTGCAAGTTCAAATTTTGATAATAGCTGTAACGTCATCGCCCTGAAAGTCGAGGAAGATAAATGCTTCTTTTGTATGGCCCCCTGTACAAGGGGAGGGGGAGGGAGCGGAGAAGAACCTTATTTTTCTCCATCCATTGTGACTTATACACTCCTCATCATTACGGACTGTCGGGGCGTATCAGCCAGTAGGAGTGCGCACACTGTTTGAAGCCGTTCTCAGCCTTTTCTTTGAAACGCGTATGCGACAAAAAGTGGTAGAAAACGAGTAATACGAATACGAAGGCTGTAATGCCTTTATGCGTCAGTTGTTCGCCCTTCAACACTGCTGCAGAAGACTTTGGAACGCCCCCCTCGAAATGCCAGCCGCACTGACCCGCCCCCGACAGTCCGTAAATGTATGAGGAGATATCCTTCAATTTGTTCAATTCTGATTGGAATTTCCACCATCAACTTCACTGCACACAACCTTCTAGACATAGCCATGGAGAGATTTCATGCCACAGGACCCGCTGATTCGATGCCTTCGAGTTCAGCGAGCGGTCGCTTGTTCTCCGCCACTGTAACCGCCCTATTAAGCTCCTCCCGGACCCGGTAATCGAGGAGCCTAGGTCAGGTAACACACTTGGATATTCCGTCTACTTCAGGCTCTCAACTCTCTACGATTCCGAATAAACGAGAGTTTTATTTGAAAGCCCTTCGATTCCATGTTCACTGCGACCCAATTCCTGTAGCCCAGCACTACGAAGTTCTCAAGACAGCTACAGATCACGACAGAGGGCAGAATATTCTCCTCGAGCTGTTCGATGTACGTCAGCGTTCACCTTTACTCTGGGGTCCCAGAAGAAAATGTCGGTCTTCCCATTCCAGGAACTTCCGCGTTCCATATCATCTCGCGCATTCAGCGAAGATGATGTTCTGGACCGCTAAGCGACGTTCTCGCGAGCTTGTACTCGATTTGCATCAAAAGCTGCCCGTTCTTCAGAGCTGACTCCATTCGAGACGTCCCGCATGTGTCTGGAGGTGACGTGAATTCCACAGGCCTCCTCCAGTTCGGCTGCAATTGAAGATGGCTCCATATTTGGTGTACATGAGGTGATGACGGCAGAGGCCCCTGCCTTCCTGCTTATCAAGAAATATCTTGCAGTATCTTCACGCCCTCGTACTCGCCGTCCACCTCTTTATCTCTGCGCGACCTTGCTTCGTTGCAATTTTTATGATATATTGATATGCCTGACGTCGGACAAAGTGTCTTCGCCCCCCTCTAAGTCAGTATCTTCAGACCGAATGCCGGGCTACTGAACCAGTACCCGGAGAGCGAAAGTCGCCCGCTAACCACTGACCCATTAGCCTCAATTTTTAATTCGAGCGCTCAAAGATCCCCATTAAAGGCCAGTTGGCACGATACATATTGGTACTCAGCCCAAAAATGCTAGCAGGGCGCTTTCTAGTTGATAAGATGGGAAAAACGTGAAGTAAACGCGTCAAAAACTGCCCGAAGGAAAGAGCCCTCATTCTTGAGAAAGTATTCGGACGAGTTTCCCGTATGGCGCCGTATTGCCCAAATGGACCGCCTCCGCGCCAGCCTACGCTGCCCTGTAGGTACTCATGTAACCGTGAGCACCTCAGCCGCTTCATACTAATCCCTTCGCGTTAGGTTTTACTCAGTAAATGAAGCAAAACGAGCATCTGGTAAGGTCGTCCATTTGTGGGCGGGGCGGGCGTTTCGCGGTCGCGGGGTCGGGATGCTTGTAGCCTTGATAGGACCCTTGTAAGGCGTACCTCTCTTAGAAAACCGCTATGCAGCGCCCACTCGGGGTCGCGGAAATCCGCCTTGCCACTCGTATCAATCCTACTCGCTTTTAGGGATTTATCGTGCCAACTGCCTTTAATAAGATTTGGGTAGCTAGATACGCCGGCTGGTTGTCGGGCGCGATGCCACACTCGGATGTGGCGTAAACTACTCGTTGGTTTTTCGAAAGCCCAGGGTAATCGGTACAAAAGAGCAAGAAAATGGCCCCTCACTCTCTACCTCAACCCGAACGCGCCCGCGTATGTATTATGTTGACTCTGTGACTGTCTGAATCCAGACATAGGCGCGGCTTCTATTTTACACTCGAATCAACGAGATCTTAGGAGGCGTGCCGCTACCGTATTCCACTAAACTTGGGCTGGCTGCTGACCTTGGTGTTATATTGTGTCCGTTTTGCACAACTGCTGCGTCTACAACTAGTACAAGCCTGTATCCACCACAGAACAGAATGACAGTCGCCTTGAACTGAAACTATGAACTGAACTATCTCACGAGCGACCCTTCTGTGCCATGTTCAAATGCCACGCCTGCAAGTCAGTTCTCAGGGATAAAACCGCTATGGTGCCCTCTGAGGGCCCCCACACAGAGGACTCACTTCCTTGGTAACAGTACACTGCCTTTGACTCGACAGGTGGCCCAATTAATTTTTTCTTCTAGTCTAAAGGTATTTGCTGACTGGTTCAGCTTTTGCCACCCACGTGGCTTCCTGTAGGTGATCATAAAGGATAAAAGGATAAAGTCTTCGCCGTTGATCAATCCCTTTGTGGGATGCGGCACGCATTCTACTTCCATTCAGAATCGTAGTGGGTTATTGAAAATAAAAACAAAAAAAAGATGCGTATGCTGGCCTATACAATGACTTGCCGCGTGGCCCCAGCCCGCATGTTACAACAGTCAGTGTTTTATCCTCCCAGACGAATCTGGTACCAATTCACCGTCCCCGGAGGGTAGAAGGCTTGGTTGGCCTGGGCGGGAGTCGACCCGGGATTCGAACCCGGGACCGCGCGAATGGTGAGCGCCCCACTTGTCACTACACCATCTCCGCCTCAGGGTTCATAGAGAACACAAATAAAATGAGTCGTTCAGCCCCTATCGTGAGCATATCTAAGGGAACGAAACGAGCTCGTGAATAAATAAATAACTAGCACATTCCTTTTTTTTCAGGAACAGCATGTTCTTCATCTCCACTTCCTCGTGTTGTACATCAACCAGAGATTGAACGTACGCCTCATGACATCTACAGAGAAATTGGCTGGTTTGATGTGCAGCCAATTCTGAACGCCAGCTGCCACGGTATGCCATAGTTTTGTGATCTCTATAACACTGGGATGTTTTGGCTGGAAAAATGATCCGAAATCTGCGGGCCGGGAAATAAAGGCAAAGCCCGCGATCATTCATCATCACAGATAGCGGATCATGGGTTGGACAAGATGCTGAGTAATTCGATAGCGACGAAAAAATCTGAAAAAAAAAACATGCCAACTGCCCTAGATAGAATCCCATTCCGATCCCAGTTTGTACGTGCCCAGTCAAAACTCCATCTCGCCCTCATTCACAAGCCCCTACTCCTCGAGAAGAACTCTACGACCGTACAAGTGACGATTTTCATGCTTTTTCGTCCTACAGCTTCGTTCTTCACTGAAAGGCGGGCTTTGGGGAGTCCTGGAGGCGGAGTCTGGAGGCAGAGTTACTGGAGAAAAAGGAGGCGTCGCTCAGCATTTATTGCGCCATAGCGCCTTCCCCTTACAAATAGTTGGTATATCTATATAGGGGGGCCAAAAAAGTCATTCCCGTCTTTCACATGATGAGCCCGAAGTTTTACGACAGAGGAAGTGGATATGAGTACCAGGGCGGAAGATACCCAAGATCTTCCTCTATAAGCAGGAGCCGGCTGCCGCCATTCACCTTCATGTACACCAAAATATGAAGTCATCTCCAGTCGCGGCCTGAGTGGAGAACGCCTTTGGAATTCACGTGGCCTCCAAACAGCTGCGGAACTTCTTGAATGGAATCACCCATGGATAGCTACCTGGAGACCAGTACTCTTGATCTGCAAGACCTCAAACATCGAGCAGCTCCGGCAACGTCGCTACGGTCCAGGACATCATCTTCATAAAGCCCATTCACCAAGGCGCGGCTTGGCAGGCGTTGTGGTGTGGAGCGGCCGTACGTGGAATGATGACGTATTTTCTTCGTGGGCCCCAGACTGAGGGTGTGCACTGGTGGCTATATCGCAGAACTCGAGGAAGAATATCCCATCTTCATGTCGTCGCCCGTACCTTCTTGGAAACTTTGTACTGCTACAGGATTGGGTGACAACACATTTAATCGAAGGGCGTTGGAAAAACTTTCGCCTACTTGGAATGGAAGAACGTTGAGTACCTGGAAAAGATGGAGTATTTAAGCGGGGTCCTGAACTAAACCCCCTCAATTACTCGGTTCGGGCGGAGCTCAACAGGGTGGTCTACAGTGGCGGAGAAATCAACGATCTCGCTCAACTCCGGTACCCACTCACTTTCGCGCGGCCGAATCTCTCGATGGCGCTCCTCCAGAAGGCTGTGGCGGAGTATCATTATAGTATTTAATGTGCTCTTTAATATGGTAGTAAAATGTCCGATATAAAATTCTAATAAAGTGTAACTTATAGCGCCTTGAAAGTCATGGAGGCAAACATGCGCCCCCCTGTGATGCCCTATATACCCCCACCCCGCTCGACGGCTCGATTCGATGAGGAGGAACAGAGGGCCGGGGGGGGGGGGGTCGTACCAACCCCCAAAAAAAGGGGGGGGGGTCGTACAGACTCGACTAAAATCCCCAACCAATGATGTGCCCTCCCGTTTCCTCCTCTTCCCCCCCCTCCAGTGGACGGAAAATCTTTGGGTGAAAACTGGAAAATATGGGAAATCGGTAGGTAGGTGTTGGGAGGGTAGCAATGTGTGAAGTGGGTGTGGGGAAAAAGTAGGAAAGGGGAGGGGGTCGTACCGAGACCTTCTTAGGTGGGCAGGGGTCGTAGTGACACCACCATTTCACACATCAATATGCTGTACCCTGTAAAAGTACTGAGTGTATATGTATCGAGTACTTAGCCATTGAGATGAATCGTCACAGTACTAAACACCTCAAACATACCTTTTCAGTCAACTCCACTCTCCGATTTCGATTCGTCACCTACGTCACCGAACGATCTTCCCATTACATCACCACCACCACCGCCGTCAAATCTTCCTTTATCGCCGCCACCGTCACTCATTGCTTCACCGTATCCGTTCCCTTTGGAACCATTCGTTGCAGAACCACATGCCCAACCTTATGCACTAATGTTGCCTGAAGACAGTTACAGAGGTGAGTGCTGCTTTTGGTCTCCAGTGGGTGGTGACCACCTCCTTCTGCGACTTGTGTGCCTGCAGAGTTGCTATACTTCACCGATAGGTTCCGAATCTGAATACAGAGTACCCGCTGGGGAGTGGGGTCGTGGTAGGAAGTTGGGGAAAATCTAAGAATTTCTCACGTTTGACATTGGCTATACACCCCTCCCCCAACCCTGTTTGGGGCAACTGCAATCGTGCCCTGTTTTTGGCTGACAAAGACTTGGTAACCGGTAATATCATAACGGCAATATCCCTTCAGAAGCGCAGGTTGCGCTATGTTGCCATAATGCAACCACGTCCACTCCATCGCCGTGACATGGAGCTAGAGTGCCTTTGGATCTATCGAAAGGCTCACCATTAAAGCAGTTTTCAAAGTTCTGGGCCCCTCCCTTGTCTGACGAAGACCGTTGCTATCAAAAAAAACTTTTATGCGACACTGACAACAATGAGCCAGTTGGCAATATTTGCAGGAGCCCTCATGGGTGCACCACCACCATATTCTGTCATGCCGGCAGCACAACTGGAGGACATACCGCGAGTGTTTCCCGGAAGCTCTAGTGGGACCATTTGTGGATCAAGCCTGTCATGTTACCTCAAATAAAACAAGAGGATAATATGGTAAGACAATTTTACGTTCTCACAGTCTCTTCCAGCACATATCGGTTCACCTCAGAGATAACGACAGGTGCTGTTGGTGGCACGTACATTAAATGTTGTTTTTCTGACCCTTATCTGGTTGGAGACGTGGTGTTTTGCAAAAATTCGTACAATTTCGAACAATTCGTGAGGCATTCGTATTCAATGGGTCTCTTTGGAAGTTCTTGCGGAGGACACGATACCAGTTCACCGATACCAGAGGGATGATAGAGGGCTTACTTAGCCTGTGCCTGGAGCGTACCCTAACCGGGATCACTTGATATCTTTCCCGCAGAAAAAAACCCTATTAACTAATTGTAGTGGTCAACTCCTGCTGAATTGGAAATTATAAAACTGAATTTATTCGCCAAAAATAACGGGATGGGAGATTCATGGTTTTAGGGTGCCATCTCTATAGAGGAAATTGTCAAGCTGGTTGTGTCAGCAATGAAAAATTCCGGCTTGGCGGAAGCTGAGAAGGAGAGTCCTGAAGAGATCCTGCGGCGAAAGAGACAGCAGGTGATGTGACTCTTACAGTGAATAAAGACCAGAAAAGAAGGACATCGAAATTGCTTTCAGAATAATGAAGCAGCTGCTCGTTATCGTAAGCGCCAGCGGGAAGCAAGAAATATAGCAGAAGGAGAGCTGGAGCAGCTTCTACGCAGGAACGAGAATCTTCGCCAGACCGTAGAAAAAATGCAGGTCGAAATCGCGGAACTGAAGAGAGCAGTCCTGGAAGGCCACAGCTCTTGACACAGTCAGTAATCACCAGAGAAACTATGGTTATTAGAGCATAGCCAGTCATTTGGTTCACAGCCGGAC